GTTTGTCGTATAGAGAATGAAGGCTTTCATTGCTTTGTTTTTAACATTAATAAATTTGATTTAAATTTTCCATTTGGTGTGAATATAGTGCCTAAATAACATAATTCACCCACTGCTGTAATATTTTGGTTATTAATTGAGAAATTTTGATTTTTAAGAATTCTGTTGCCAGTATTAAAAACCATCACTTTTGTTTTCTTTATGTTTACTACAAGGCTCCATTTTTCACAATAGTTGGCTAGTTTATTTAAACAATTTTGTAGACCTTCGGGAGTCTCAGACACCAATACTAAATCATCTGCATATTGGATACAATTTATATGTTTTTTACCAATCGAGACTGGGTCATCACCCTTTTTACCAAATAAATCGGGTAGGTCATTCAGAAATATATTAAAAAGTGTTGGAGAAATATTGATTCCTTGCTTAACACCACAAGTAGACTTACAATCATTTGATACACCATTAGGTAATTTTACTTTGTAGTTTAAACCTGTATAAATTGACCTTCACAATATTATAACAATTTCCATTGACCCCTAAGTTTTGCAATTTAAGAAATAATGCAGCTCTCCAAACATGATCGAATGCCTTTCTGAAATCTATAAAACAACTGTACAAACGTTTTTGTTTACTGACATTTTCTTTAGTGTATAATGTTTTATTCACTATTGTTTTTAGTAGAAACATTGCGTCAGTTGTTCTTCTCTGTTTTTTAAATCCAAATTGTAGTTCATTTAATAATGTATTGCTTTCTAAATAGGATGTCAGTCTGTTATTCATAATACTAGTAAATTAATGCAGCTGTTGCCAATGCTGTGGCCATGATACATTTTCCAGTTATTAATTGCTACGTTTACGTTACGGAATCTCGGCACGTGCCGACTCGGTGCCGACCGTTCACACCCCCGGGGAGGGGTACTTGCAAAAATATTGACAGGAGTGTGTAGCTGGTTGTTTGAAACCCCTTATCAGACAAAAATAAATTCAAATTGCCTACCCCTTTCCAGACAAACAGTGGATATTTGACACCCCTTTCCGGACAGAAAGCATAAATGGTACCAAAGGGAAAAGCAGTTGACTCGCGGGAATGGAATTTGACGATCGAAATTACAGACAGAAAACATTAGCTTCATTCTCCTGATTGTTGGATCACTCAAGCAATAGAGACAGTCTTTGGAAAATATGGACCCCTTTTACGAAAAAAATAATTAAAAAAAGGATACTCCTTTTCAGACAGACAGGGTAAAATAACATACCCCTTTTCAGACAGAAGTGGGATTCCGTTTGCTCACAAATGCAGTTATTTGTGATATTTTTAGTGATTTCGAGTCAAAAATGGTTTTTTTTTGGACTTTTCAGTGAAATAAACATGTAAATCTGTTGTGTTTCAAACTATGTGCGACTTTATTTCCCTTATTCCGAATTTTTCTTTTCGTGACAATTACTACTGTGTATTTGAACGTTTATTGTTAGTTATTAAAAAAATACAATTTCTCAAAGAACGTGATTTGACTAACAATGCGAGAATTTCGCTTTTTTCCCAAACTGTAATTAATATTCCTAGATTGTATTAAATGCAGTGATCCATATGAACAAGTGTGTGATCCGTTGGTTTTACAGCAAATCCTGATATAAAGGCTGTACTGAACCTAGCCCGATAGTCGTGGTGTTCAATCACCAAATCGAATGTTATGTACACTCAAACCCACTTTACTTCACGAGCCTTTTCTAAAAAGGATTTCGGGATTCTGTCCGATGAGATTTCGTATGAACAAAATCCAAAGCGAGACCGGGTTTACAAGTGAACGATTTTCTACACATCGTACAAAGTTGGAATACAACTTCAACATGCAATGTTTCTTGGATATGTTTTATTCGAATTGATTGTTTTTCATTCAAGGGCGATGATCATGGAGAAGCGTTCGATATGAGACTCACAGCGACGTATACAACGCGTGTAAAACACATTGTTTACATAAAGTTCGGGCTGTACGAGACTGTATGCAAATCCGACCACTGCCCGTTAACATGATCCGTTGCTTACCCTGGGCGCCCTCATGCGACGACTCCTGGGGAACATCCTCTATGACGTGAATGAGAATTCACGTCGCATCAGAAGAGTGATCACATGCAAATTAGGACAGTCTTTTTCGTCGTATAGCCCCTTCCCATCATGATTTGATCGCACCTTCATGAGGCAAGACAACA